TCCTTGCAGACAGCTGGTCATTTGCATTCTTTTGGCGGGTTGTTAAGATCACCAGGGTCAACAATTTGCACCTGAGTGGTGCAAATTGGTGTGGAGCCTTCTTGGGACTGTTGAAAGGACTGTCTTGTAGATTGGAGATAGATGATGTTGTATCCCTCCCCTTCTGTTGAGAGAGGGCCATTCAGTTTTGACATAGATGGCCTCTTTAACCCCTCTTTCAAACCAGCAGCTCTCTCTGTCCAAAATATGGACTTTGTTGTCTTCAAAAGAATGGCCTGGGTCAGATGATTGCACCATGGGAAGATTGCTTGCTACTGTAGGGAGGACTGGAGCAGTCCAAAGACTTTCATAAAGGCACTTGCAAGTAGGAAGTAGGAGAAGGAGAGTGGAAGGGAAGAGCTTCTTGGCCCTTTGGGGGAAGAAAAGGGGTCTGCTAACCATCTTTCAAGGGTCTGGTTTTCTTCATCAAGAAGATGGACCGTAGACAAGTTCTCAGAGTCAAGACATCTTTCTGAATGCAGTCTGTTTGCATTTTCATGTCAAAGACTGAAAACATTAGGAGAATCCGGCTTGGGCTGTCTCTTGCAAATGCTACCCTACTTAGAGCAATTTCTATGTTTAGTCTGCATAAAACTTCATCCTTTGGAAAAGAAAAAAAAAGAGTGGCCTCTGTCTTTTAAATGCAGATGGGCTGTTGAATCTTGTCCTGATGCTTTTGTTCTCCCATGTTGTGCCATGTGCTTATAAAGTGGTGGTTTCATTTCCCCAATGTACAGGTGTGCACATGGCTCATGGCATTGTACTGCATATACCACATGCTCAGTTTCTGTCTGGGTGTTTTATCCTTGGAGTCACAGTGGTATTCAGCTGGTTCAGACCGGTTCTAGCGTACCAGTAGCAGACATTTTGAGTAGTTCACAGAACCAGCAAATACCACTACTGACTGGCCCCGCCCACCTGCACCCACCCTTTCCTGTCCTCCGTGATGGCTCCTTCTCTCTGGAATATCATTCCCCCAGAGATTAGAATGGCCCCCTCAATAATACTCTTCTGGAAGGCACTGAAGACCTGGTTTTGCCAGCAGGCCTGGGGAACCCAGAGTGGGATGGAGCCCATTAAATGGCTCATGTGATCTGCTGTCATCGGGGGGGGGGGGCAGTTGGGTGATTTTTTAATGTTTTTCCAGATTTTGTTCTATTGTACTTTACTAATTTATTTGATTCTTTTTGTTAGTTTTTATTAATTTTTTATTTTAAATATGGTTTTACATTCTGTAAGCTGCTTCAAGTCGCCATGGGTGATATAAAGGCGGCAATATAAATTCAATAAATAAATATTCCCTTGTTTTTTTAGCTCAGCTGATTCACGCGGCAGAGCGGATTGCCGCACCTCAGCTGAGCTAAAAAAACAGCTCACCTCACTAGCACTGACACAAAGGCGGTTTTTGAGTGCTGCGCTGCACAAAGCACGCTGCCTTAGTGTAAAAGAATGCAAATGACCAGCTGTCTGCAAGTATAAATCCTTCCATTCCCCACCATCCAGCTGAAGAAGGTTCTTGGATGAGAAATGAAACACCTTCAAAGAAAAAACAGAAGTCCAGTTACCTCTTGAAAAAAGCACCTCTGGGATAACCATGACCTGGATGGCTGAGAATCTCCATAGGCAATAATCCCTTCTGCAAACTAATCCTGAAGCAGGTAGTCTCATGATTTCCCTAAGACCTAAAAAATGAGATTTAACTTCAGTCTTCAAGATCCAAGCTGGAATTCACTGTTTCTTATGTTGTCATATGCTAAATATTTACAATAATGAAAAGATGCTTGGATCCTTCTGTTATACTCACAAAGATCAGAGAGAACAGCTGGCAATGAATAGCAGAAGACTTTCCTGTACTTTCTGTTCCTTTTTAGAAAAAAAAATACTCCATCTTTTTTTGAAATGAAAACAAAGTTAATCTGCATAATATAAGGCTGCAATTTTCTTTCAAGTCAGAATATCTGTAGATTGTAGGAAAAAAACAGTTTTTCCTTTTTCCATATAATAGACACAGTGCATTACACAATTCCCAGCTATTTCAGTAATGATTATGCCAGAGACATTTCTGGTCACAGCATCCAAAAGTAGCAGGTTCAAAATAATCTCAGCAGGGCAAAGAAAATACTTCTATCTTTATTAAATAAATAATAGGAATCTCAAGACATGCAGTAACTATTTAAGTTTTCTAAATGAAGATTATAGACAGTAACCCTTATAGAATGTTCTCATGAAACAGAAAAATGCATTTATTATTTGTAGTTTTAATTATTAGGAGAAAACACAATCACTGAATAATAGAAAAGTCTTTTAAAAAAATAATCATAGAATAAGAAGTAATTTTGTAACTGCTCATATTTGCTTCAAAGGAAACAGGAAGCTTTCTTTTTATTCTTTCTTTCTGGATTTTTTTCTGTTCTTTCTTCCTTGCTTTTTTATTCTTTGATGGCTTGTGTTAGTTTTTATGTTCTTGGTAAAACCTTTAATAAAACCTATATTAAAAATTATGATTGCAGACATTTATGATCTCTTCTGAGAATTATGAGAAACTCACTTATAATGTGTGAGTTAATAGCATTAGGTTTCACAGCAGAATCATAGTTCACCATAAAGTGCTTTCCATTAAAAGGAATCAGTTAACATTTAGACAGCAAACGTTGTAAATCCATGAAGTTAGAAATCAAACTAAAACTACACCAGTCAAAGAGAAATGTATTAAAAGAACAGATTTGTAATCTGTAGATATTTTTGAGGAGATAAACATCTGCTTCCAAGCTTTATTTTAGTTGGATTCCTCTTTATTTGCATGGCCAGACTTTATAAAGATTGAAAGCAGCTTGAGACACAAGATTTACACATGGGTGTCATTAAAAGCAGGCTCTCCATTGATACATAGATAGCTGGTTTGAAAAATTACTTTGAAATTACATGAGCAGCCATTTGTCTGACAGGAGAGCAGCTGTATAAATATATTTTAACTAATCATTCATTGATATTAAATTCAAATCATTCTCATTATTAAGAGTCCACCTCAAAGAATGGTTAACTAGTAGCTATTTTTAGTAATTAGTAATAAATGATGGTCTTTAGCCCATCATTTATGTCTCATAATAGTTTATCTTCCTCTGAAATGCAATCCATTTATTTGAAGCAATTCTTTCTGTGCTGGTTTAAGAGGATATTTCTACTTTCTTTAATAATTCTACTTACTGGGCTTAAATATAAAAGTGGCATCTATTAATCTCACAAGTATCAGCATTTTATACGATTAGGTAAACTTAATAAAGAATATTAGTGTTATTATGCTAATTAGAAAATAATGCTGACCAACGTTGTTGTTGTTAATTGCGAAGTCATGCCCGACCCATCATGACCCCATGGACAACATTCATCCAGCCCTTCCTGTCCTCTACCATCCTCTGGAGTCCATTTAAGCTCACGCCAACTGCTTCAGTGACTCCATCCAGCCATCTCATTCTCTGTTGTTCCCTTCTTTCTTTGTCCTCAATCGTTCCCAGCATTGGGCTCTTCTCCAGGGAGTCCTTCCTTCTCATGAGGTGGCCAAAGTCTTTGAGTTTCATCTTCAAGATCTGGCCTTCTAAAGAGCAGTCAGGATTGATCTCCTCTAGGACTGACCGGTTTGATCGCCTTGCACTCCAAGGGACTCGCAGGAGTCTTCTCCAGCACCAGAGTTCATAGGCCTCAATTCTTTAGCACTCAGCTTTCCTTATGGTCCAACTTTCACAGCCATACATTGCAACTGGGAAAACCACAGCCTTGACTCTACGCACTTTTATTGGAAATTCCTTACTACATAATCATGCATAACATTGATTTTTGGGGGATGAAAAAGTCAATAACTTTATGTTTTATTCTTTTCTATTGTAATATAAATTATAATAGGTTGTAAATAAAATGTACTATCTTGTCTTGAGGCATGGTCATTTATATCTTTTGATTGCCAACACTGAATATCTATTTTTATTTCATCTTTTGGTCTAAGTTTTTCCCAACCCGACAACTTCCACATGTGAAAACTTCAACTCCCATAACTTCTCAGACATCATGGTGCCAATGTTAATAATTCAGAGGATTATTAACTTGCCTCTGTGAAGTATCAATGAAACAGATTTATCTTGTCTGATTCAGATTCAGATTTAGATCTAGACATTTAACCTCTGTAGGGTCCTTGTGTTCTCTGAGCTTGGTTGCTTTCTTGCAGACGTTTCAGTATCCAAATAGATAACATCATCAATGCTAGGATGAGGTATGTGAAGCATCTGATACCCACATATGATACCAATAAAAGAGAATATTTGCAGCTCAAAGCAAAACTATGGGTCTTTGGTGCTCTCTGAGCTTGGTTGCTTCTTACACATATTTCATTACTCAACTAGGTAACATTGATTCTATTCAACCTCTACTCAGTGTATCATTCTGTACCATTGACCTGAAGTTGGTGCTGATGCGATTCTAGCAGAAGGATTAGGGAAGCAATTTCCTTTGACTTCCTGTTAGTTGGACAGATCATACTGCTCCATGAAAATATTTACATGAATGTTAAATACAATACTAGTGGAATCCTTACTAATGTTATTCCCATTGCACTGGAAGTTTAATAGAGTAGAACCCTTGATACCTAACACATTTCATGCACCAACTGATACACTGACCCATCCCTACATTATTGTTGCTGCCATTCTTACTGTTTTAAGTAGAATTTCAGCAAAGCCTCCAAGTATACCCTTGGCTTGCAATCAGGGATTTAATGATCTTCTGAAGTTAGGATGGATTTTTAAAAAACTACTTACAACCTGTTCTCAAAGTTATAACTGCCTCTACAGACACATGCATTCACTCTGGCACAGTCATTCCATTGCATTTTGGGCACTAGGCAACTGGCTGCACCACTTTTCACATTAGAAAGTTATTGGTATTGTTTGCTCAACAAGTTGAATGTTTTCTAGGATGTGCTGGGATCTGGGATAACATTACCTGCTGGCGTTCTGCAGAAATTGGAGAAACTGTAACAGTCCCTTGTCCAAAAATCTTCAGCAACTTTTTCAGCGAACAAGGTATTTAAAATGTCTTTCTGTAATTTGGACTAACGTATCTTTGGTTTCTGTGTGTTTTAAATGTTGGAAAGAATGGCTATTTCATTAGGCGGCATACAGATTGAAAGGAAAACCACTATCTCAGCAAGTGGCATGCATCTCTATTGTTGCAACTTCAGATATCTAGAAAGTAGTATTGAACAAAGTTAAGGACAATGGTATTTTAAAGCCTTGAAGTTTAATGAAAGAAAAATCTTTTTTCTGGTCATCTATTGGTTTGTGATAAGCTTTTTATTATGAAGATAGGAAGTAGGGGAAGTCTAGCAGAGTATTTGAAAGTCAGATTCATTTTCTTGCTCACAAGGAGTCCCTCTAACATGTCCCTTATTTTGGAATCAAATCTGTGCTTCCTTTTTGTTCCAGTACCCGCATTATTTCTTTAATGTAGGAGTGGATGATGTATTTGCCAACATGGCTGGCTAGGGGACTCTGAAAGTTGCCATGGTTGAAAAACATTGCCCTAAATCGAAAAAAGGCAGGCACTGAAAGTCCCCCGCCCCCATATGGGGCCAGACGATAAAGTTTGCCCTCCCTGCCCAGGTATGAAGATCAAGAGAGAGAGAAAAGACTGATCAGGGTTTGAAGTAGCCATAGGTCACAATCTAGCTTTGTTGAGGACCATTGAACTGGAATTTGTTAAGTTATCTTCAGGAATAATTCTGATGGATGGAGGAGACAAGCAGATTAGGTTGACACATAGGATTGTCCAAAAAACTCTTCCTAAACTTTAGTCCTTCTTCCATGTTTGGATGAGTCTTTTTAAAAACTGCATTTTTACCATTTTTGTGTGTCAGGCATGCATTTATTTCTGACTAGTAATCCGTCACAGGAACTGAAGCCTTTGATACTCCTGCCACAGGTCACTCAAAATCACTTTAAATAATGATGTTGAGTAATGAGAGGCTTTTATGGAGACAATTTAATTTAAATTATTTTCCCATCTGGCACATTTATAGCCTCAGATTTGTTGTATCTAAAGCTACATATGTCTGCCAAATGATCTTTAAATGTTAAACAATTTTTTCTGGTCACCGAGTTTTCTTGAATAGTTGTCATATCCTTAATGACAGATACCTCCTCAGAAAATGAAGAGGGAATCAAAATCAGTGTGTGTGCAATAAACCAGACCCTATCATGACAAGCAAGAAAGATTTTCTGCGATAAGTAATGTAGTATCAAAGGGCTGAGAGTCCAGGAATGTGAGATTGCAGAGAAAAACCTACTGGAGTGGTTTTTTGGGAATCATTTTTGTTTCCAAATCAACCTGCATCAAAACTGAATTATATACATACAGTTCTGTTGGGTGCAAAGAAACATTTTTATAAGAAGCTTTCCATTTTTTCCCAAAAATGGCTTATTCCTAGTCTCAATATCATGTTCTCTCCTGTGGCCAGCTGTTTTACATCCAACTCTGACAGTTGGACAGATACCTTGGATTTTAACATTGTCTTGTCTGGTGAGTTATGGGTTGAAGCTTTGATTACCTAGCTTGGCTTTTTAATAAGCTACACTTTTTTTTGCTGAATCTTATGACATGTTGATTTTGTGGGAGCAATTTTAATCCACCCAACTAAATGTCATTGGCATTTATATACAGTATATTTACTGCTCTTTATATATTTTTCTAAACAAAGTAACTGTAATTTACTTGGACCAAAGACCAGACTTTAATTGTTTATGATATTTGCACTAAAATATAGTAACTGGTGGAAAAGAGATTTAATTTAATTTTTGTTGAATTAAATATTGTTCATAGCCTCACGTATTTCTTAATGCTGTGTCTTAAATTAGAATCACAATTCACTGGGAACTGTGAAAGCTCTACATGACACTCAAATCTATCAGAAACCTTACACTCTTTTAAGACAATACATAAGGCATCATACAACATTATGTATGATATATTTGAATATAAAGCAGATCAGCTTTTCCCCAAAGTATTGTTATTCTAATAGGAAAAACACTTGGAAATACAACACATTATCACCTAGGACTGTTCAGAGCTGTGCTAATTGTCCTTGTTAGTTAGGAGTTCTTAGAGTTGTAGTCTCCATTTATCTGGAATCCATGAGATTAGAGAAGATTATGATGGACCCAGATTGTTGGGGGCAATATTCTGACTTGGTAAACCACTTGGAGAGGGCTGTAAAGTATTGTGAAGTGGTATATAAGTCTAAGTGCTATTGTTAAGTGCTGTTAAATAATTTAATAAAAGTAGATCTAACAAATAATTTTAAGGTTAGACGTTTTGTTGACTTACTGGCGGTTGCAATGTCTGATTCCCTCTTTGTTCATTATCTTAGGAAATATCAGCAAAAACTGTACAAATAAAGGATGGTCAGAGATGTTTCCACATTTTTTTGTTGCTTGTGGATTGAAAGATATTGAAGACAACCCGGTAAGAAAAACTTGTTGAAAAATACTAAATAACCATTTTCATGTCAGTTTTGCAGGTTAGGGTATCAGATTTGGGTTGCAATTCCTTTGTTTCTAAAGTATCTTAGCTTTATAATAGTTAACAGAGAGCTTTTACTGTTAAGATTTTTTTTTCTCTACAGAAGTAGTGTCTTGCCTCATTTTCTTTTTATTGCAGGGCAGTGTTTCACAATGTTGGTCACTTGAAAATGTGTGGACTTCAACTCCCAGAATTCCCCTGCTGACTGGGGAATTCTGGAAATTGAAGTTCATATAACTTCAAGGGGCTAAGTCTGAGAAACACAGCTGTACGGGGAATCATTTCTCATTATAATTTTACCACTTCAGCTTGTAATCACATTATTTGAAATGATCAGAACAGTTTCAAGAAAGTTTCCAAAGCCCATCCTGGAGATGTGTCTTTTGTGAATATTTCAGTTTATATGTCGTTTGTACCTGTAACTCTTTTGTTTCATAAATCTTCGAGAAAGTGACATTCTGGCAAAAACGTCCGCATGCTTTCTCTTGTGAGTTTTGACAGCTGTAATAAGCTTATTTCTGGTTTTTGTCATCAAGATGTGTCGAGGCTATCCACGTATGAACATATGTCATGCATGCATGTCTTACATAAACATGGCGGCTGCCTGTAGGGTTGTTTTGAAGGATTTAAAAAAACAAATTGTTTCATTGACTTAGTAAATTAAGGAATATTTAGAAGGCTAAACAGTTTAAAGTTCTCATGGAAGTGGAATGAGATCATTCGTCCAGATGGTCTTTGTCATTCCACATGGCTGGAATACCTCCTACTAACACATGTTATGGCCCCAGTCCAAAGCTCCTTCTCAAACAGCATATCCTACAATTATTAGCCATTGTGAGCCCTTTGATGTAGCCGAGATAACGAGCATGACAATTCATACTAATCTTTATTGTAAGGTTACATTAAAGAATCTTGCAATCACTTCTGCCCTCACTTTTGCTCTTGAAAAGTAGGGAGGGCTCCTTTATTTTGAGATGCTTTCTTTATTTTACCCATATGCCTTCAGACTCAAATCCTCCTGTCTCCTAAGATCATTCTCACATACCATTACGGAATGAATGGAGCAAAAAAAAATTAAATGCTGAAGGGCGTTTAGGGTAGGCAAATGGCGCAATGGCAATTTTGACAGCATGGAATTTTTGCTTGTTTACAAAATGGCTGCCATGGTAGCCAGGCCAACCACAAATATCTGTTTATCAGAAAGAAAACTGGAAGATAATCTTCTCTAATCCCTTAGGATGGTGTCTGTATCTCACCTTGCTTTTTGTCTTTTTCTTGGGCATAGGAAAAAAGAATTTTTATTCTGTTAGAATGCCTATGGAATCCATGTAGAAATATAAGAACTCTCAAGCTGAGTGTTTCTATTTTAAACTACTAACTACTATTTAGAAATAACCAGGCCAGTGTAGGAGTTCTCCAGAGGCAAACAAGGTGCAGTGCCATACTGGTGCAAATAAGATTAAATACCATTTTTTCTTGCATAGTTCTTCTTTAATCTCTGAGATTTTAAAATATCTTTCTGATAAAAGTGTATTAGAAACTCAAAAATTTTCATGCTGTTTTGTTCAATCTTCTTTGAGATCTTAACTATAATTATTTTTATCCCAAAGAGCAATAGAAAATTACTTCCTTTGTACACAGCTTTTTATAGCATCCTAGAAGTTAGGTTGTGGCTGTCTCGGGTAGCTGAAAATGAAAATATTTAAATGAAAGATATATAAACTATTCTATAGTTGACTATTGACTGCTGAAAATAATATTTAAATTGAAGATATATCATTTAAATTCTATAATGAAAATTATATTTATTATAAGACAAAAATATCTTTTGGTAGTCTAGTAGAAGAATTCAGTTATCTTGCTTTTCCACAGAATAACTCAATTAGCATTTCTTCTTCAATCAGTTGCTTGCCTAAGTAATACAATCTTACATTTATATCATGAGTAGATTAGAGAAATTTGTCTTCATGTTCACTCCTGGATGGAAGGAGAAATAAAAAATAAGCAAATCAAAACTATAGAGGCACTGCTTCTGAACATGTGAATCATTCATTCATTCCCTTCCTTCCTTCCTTCCCTCCTAGCTTCCTTGTCCATTTTGATTTCTATAAGCTATCCATTACAGCAAGTGAGTCTGAACAATATTCATTCAGATAGAAATGTATCTTGCTAAAAACTATTTTAGTATATAGTTCTTATTTGCTAAAATAAAATACTTGACTTCTTATATTCAAAACTAAAGTGTAAGTGAAGGAAGACACTGTTGAAGCATGAAATACAGCATATTTTTTCTGAAGTGTTTATCTCTGAATCCATAGAATTGTGAGAGGGAGCTCTTTTAAAATAGTATTATTTACAGCATAGAAAGAGGACGATGATTAGAAATATGTTTTAAAGTGTTTTCTATGGAAGGATAGGAGCCTCTCTGGGTTTTTCCCCCATCCATTAATTTTTTTGAGAACTGACTTATAGTTTCAGATCCTCAAGTATAGCACAATAGAAGGTATTCATGATTTATCTAACTTCTTCCTTTCATATTCCTGTTATTTGGGACTAAAACTCTCAGAATTCCAAGCCAGCATCTCTATTGGAAAAATGTATTGGTTTCACTAAATGTAGTATGAAGTAATCATTTGTGTCTTCTACTTAAGGCACAGGTTAGAAAACAAGAGATTATACGTTCAAGTTCCACCTTAGCAATGAGAGCCAGCTAGGTGACTGGGCCAGTCAGTCTCTCTCAGCTCAACCCATCTCATAGGATGGTTATTGTGGAGAAAACAGGAGGAGGAAGGTGTGTTGGATATGTTTGCTTCCTTATTTGTAAAAAGAAATAAATGTATTTATTCTCCAATATACTTTGATTTGTAAATTCTTTGTTCTTCATCTATATATATAAAAATGAAATACCATTCACGCATCATCACAAAATCTCCAGAACCGTAAAACCTACAAACTTGAAATTTGGCATGGATGTTCCTCTTGGCTTCTAGGTGCCCACTAAGAAAAGATTTTTTGAAATGACCATCAGAGCATTAGTATTTTGTATATTATTATTAACACACTCTGATGCTAAGGAGTTCTACTCCCCCTCCCCATCTGTTTCAAATGCAAAAGACAAGCAGAGGAGAGGAGTTTCAGTTTCTATTTTAGTTTCACAGCACCAAGCAGCTTTAGTACAGTACAGTTGAGCTAAGCCACGCTCATGCTTCTTGCTGTCTCCTTCTTGCTCACATAGCAAATGCTGTTCCAGTTTCCAAACAGCCCTCAACTCTCTCACACAGTTAGGACACTAGCCAGATGAATACTGATGGATGCTGGTAGGCAGAGCCAGAATCCCCCCCCCTTATTTTCCTCCCCAAAAACTAAGCCCGACCACATAGTTTCATAGCAAAGCACGGGTATCGAGCTAGTAAATAAATAAATGTATTTATCCTCCAATATGCTATGATTTGCGAATTATTTGTACTAGCATCGTTCTTCATCAGCTTCTTTTATATAAGCTCTTACCTCAATAAACCTGTCAGGGCTGCCCAAACAAGCACTTGGTAGCCTGGATTTGGATCTCATGCTTTCACTTTGTGACACAAGTGATAAGCTGCATTTTCCCAATATCTGCCCTGTTTTCACAGGCCTTTCTTTGGTTTTTTTTTCCCCATGAAAACGTTTTGTTTCTCAACCAAGAAGCTTCTTCAGTTCTGGCCAACTGTCCTATCCCACACTCACACCCTCAAAGCCCTCAGGACAAAGGTAGATTCTGACTGAGTTAGACAAGCTTTTGGCACAGGAAATTATAGAGACCATCAACCACGCTAAGTGGGAAATGCTTATAGTCACCCCAGTCAAACCGGATGGCTCCATTAGAATATGTGCTGATTATAAATGTACCTTAAATTGAGCACTTCATATTGCCTACCCTATGCCTGTAGGGCAGCACTTGCTGCATTCATTTGGAAATGACAAAGCTTTTGCCAATCTGGATTTAATGCAGGCTTATCAGCAGATCCCTGTAGACAAACTGCTCAGGCGCAAACAATTGTGACTTTAAAAATCACAGTTTACAATTTGGTGTTAGTATCACCCTAGGAATTTTCCAGAGTTTGATGGAAAGAATGCTCCAGGGCATACCAGGTGTCATCTCATATTTTGACAGCATCCTGGTATCAGTGACCAATCTAGCTGAACTAAAGGAATGTTTAAGGGCAGTCCTTCTTAGGTTTAAGAAAGTAGGACTTAAGTTAAAAAGAGAAAAGTGCAGTTAGCTGTCCAGAAAGTTTAATTCCTTGGGTACCTGATAGACTTATCTGGGCTGCATTCAAAGACCACATACAGGCTATCCAGAATGGTCCCATTCCAAAAACAAGACTGAATTGCAAGCATTCCTTGGACTCTTAAATTTCTATAGTATTTTCCTGCCCCATAAAGCATCAGTTGCTGAACCATTGCACAGACTTTTGGATTCTAAAACTGCATGGAGCTGGGGCAAGAAAGAGAATACTGCATTCAAAGCTGTTAAAAGACTTCTGATGTCACAAAGCATGCTAATCCAATACAACGAAAGTCCGCTGGCCTGCGATGCATCCCCCTATGGAGTTGGCGGAGTGCTCAGCCACAAAATGCCAAATGGGTTAGAAGCATCTATTGCATTTTTTTCAAGGACTCTCTTAAAGACTGAAAGAAACTAGAGTCAACTTGATAAGGAAGCCTTGGCAACTGTGGCCAATGTTAAAAGATTTCACGAATATCTGTATGGTCAAACCTTTGAGCTAGTTCCAGACCATAAGATGCTGCTGGGTTTAATTCTAGGAGACCAGCAGACACCCCAAGTGCTGTCTCCCAGGATGACTAGGTGGACCGTTTTCCTAGCTGCCTACAATTATTCTTTAACATATCGACCTGGAAAAAACCTCAGCCACACTGATGCTTTAAGTCGCTGCCCATTACAG